TTTCCTTCGTGATAAAAGCATGAGATTGTTAAATTTCTCGGAATATTAAAAGTTCTAAATTTATGTCTCGCTAAAATTATTTGGTTTATATTATATTTTATTGGAATTTGTGAGTTTGAATATTTTGCTTGGTTATGTTTTTAATTATCGACAGTCGATTGTCTTTGAAGTTGAGTTCTTAGATAAAAGTTTGTTTATCTTTAATAATTATTAGAAATTAATTACTTAGTTTGTATAATATTCGAAAAGTAGGACAATCATTTGTTTCTGTTATTTTATGTCATATTTGAAAGGATCTATTGTTTGTATTGATTGGATAATGTTTTAATGAAGTTAATGGTAAAATTTTGACTGAAGGTAACACCGAAAGGATTTAAGCTCGTTTTTTATTAATTCGTAAGATGTTGCGATATCTTCCAAAATGAATATTGCATTTAAGATTGCAATTTCTATGATGAATTGTAAATATTTTCTGTATTTTTTTATGTAGATGAGATGACCTTTTATGTGATATTATAGAAGATGTGCATTTAGATTAACAATCATGCGTTATAAAAAATATGAATTAAAATATAAAAATGAAAGAAAAATAAATCATTCTCGATGTTAAGTTCAGAATAATTTTCTTTTGATTTACAATCATTTAAAATATAAATTGCTTTACATATCTTTTCTCTTTCTTAAATTTTTTAAATACATAAAGAAATGCGCTTTCAATATATATTTATATGTAATATAATCGTTTATAAATTTTAATATAAATTAATGACTATAGGATTTTTCTTAAAATACATTAGATACAACTACTGATTGAATAAATATAATGTAGCGTATGTTAATAAAGACCTAACATTATGTAATATTAATTTTATTCATTGTGATAAACTTTACATTAAATCCTAACTAAATTATCTCTTAATTACGAGCGATGCCATATCGTATATTTTTCTTCCTGAGAAAAACACATCATCCATCTGTGGAATAAATGTATCACGAGCGATATCGATCTTTATTCGTTTTACAAAATAAAAATTTTAAATATATAATACATCACTTTTTCAAAAATATAACTTTCTAAATTATAATATCTACGGGGACGAGGTAGAGAGAAATGTTACGTTCGTCGCTATCTTAACGCTATATTGATCATACGGCTTTTCCAAATTCTTGCATCATGTTTGACTTAATCACATCAGTTGTAATAAAAGTAGAGATAAGAGGGCAAAGTTATCGTGCGACGCTATTATCTATTTGTCAAGCAAGCGAAGGTATTACATTATATAATTACGTTTGAAAAAAAAAAAAAATCGTATACCTCGGAGTAACTGGGAAGATATAGACTATACTCTCATTGTCGAAAATGTAACGTCGGACTCGAGTCCGTTTATTCATCCCAAGAATCGAGTTTCCTGGTCCCCCTGTTTGATCGTCGTCGGCACGGTGGTTGTGGACGATAGGGCGGACGTCGCTGTTGCGATCGCTTCTAGATCTTCCTTGGACAGGTTCTTCATGAGCCAGGCATCGATCACGGGCACGTTCTCTTCGTTCCATTCGGTTTCTTGATAGATGATTCTGAGCGCCTTCTTGATAATGGCTTCCGCCGTTTCAAATTCATCCTGATGATCCATGTACAGCTGATTCACTTTGTCGTATCCCTCCTGCGTGTTAAACGACGACGTGGCAAAGTTAACGATGCCATCCCAGAGGAAGGTCTTGTTCTCAAATTGCTCCTTCACGGTGTACCAGTGCTCGAGCAGGAAATTGAACAGGGTTTTATACCCGGTTGCGCTACCGGTCAGCATACTGAAGATCAGGTGGATATCCGCGTCCGTGAAATTTTCGTTCTGATCCAGCACGGCCACTTGCAACAATCTGATGCGTGATGATGCGGGAAAGAAAGCGATATTATATTAATTTTTCTCATCGATATATTTGTTTACTTGAAGAAGAAGAACTCGAAAAAATGCACGAAGAGAAACTGTGTCTCTCTCTCTTTATAGAATGTACATGGTTGAATAAGTTGAAATATATATATGCATATGTATGGAGATTTGTTAATGTTTTTGCTCATTTAAACAGCATGCAACAAATTTTTATGAGCTATTTTAAACAGTTCTAATTTAAATTTGTTGAGAATGACGAGGAAAATGAATCTCGAGAAAAATTACATTTTATTATTCGTTTGGCTGTATGTGAGAAATAGGATTCATTCGAAGGTGAAAGTCGTAAATTTTGCGAATGTACCAACCTTTCGATCTTATTCGCATCCTTTGGACACCCAGCGAGAGTCTTCAGCAAATAGGTGCGCTCATTTTGCTTTCTCGCCAGACTGGTCTTTGGGAAATTTATGACGCGCTGCAATCCGAATTCCCATTCCTCGTCGGTGCCCCACTTGAATACGGGGCAAAGGAATTTATTGGCGACCCTGTGAAATATAATTCTCGAAAGTTCAATAATTTTTTCATTATTAATAAAACGCGATTGACTTTCTTATTCTTGTTAGAAATATTTTAGCTAAACGATTGCGTAAATCGGAATGTTTGGGTAAATTTTTCAAGTAAATTAAATAAATAACAATTTATTCTGATGATTTGGATACTAACGGATTTCCTTTGTCTGGTTCCTCGTCAGTCAACCATTTCTTGAATTGGTCTCTGGCTTCCTTAACGCAAGGTTCGTATCCAGCACGGCAAAGGAAGTTCTGCATAAGACCACGCATGTGGATTTTCCAGGAAGGTTCATTAGGTTGCGGATTCTCTCCAAGTTCTAAATAGAGAGGCTTCAATAAACTTCGGATGTAAGCCTGAAATTAAACATATTTTATTCAATTATTTATTAAGAAATTTTGAATAAATAATATGAAATTTTGAAAAATTTTGCACGCGTGATGTGATAGATCATAAAATAAAATAGAGGAAAAATAAAAAGGCTAAGAAGCTAATTAAAGTTGACAAGCAATCATGTATGTGTGCTAGCTAATATTGATTAATTTATATATATTATTATGTATTATATAATATATATATAATATGCTAATTTATATTGGGCGATCGATATTTAACGTGGACATCTGCTTCAAATTAGACCGTTTAATACGGATGTTCAATATTGATTATTGTCTATTCTGCCATTTGATATTATTAGACATTAGATATGATTACGTACTTATTAAATTCTGCCATTTAATCCTGATATCGAATGTCGATTGAAATATTACGTCATATTTTATTGAATTAATGAAATTTACTTGCCTCGAATTTCAAATACACGTCCAAGCCTTCGATCCGCCGACCTATATGATGAATCATTGTAAATACCGGCTCCCAAACCACGTGACTCTTTTCTTCCTTGAGGAAGAGAGTCATGTTCAGCGCGACGCTGAAGCACAGCTCGCCGGCATAAGCTAGGTTCCATGCGTCGTGGAGAAGCTTTGCTCTTGTTAACGGAGGTATTTTCTCGCGATCTGGTCCTTGCAGATATTGTGACAACATTTTCCAATTACACGAGTCGTAGTTCACCGGGAACATACCTGCGAAGAAATTTTATTAATTGTTGAAAAAAGAAATAATTATATGCATTTTCATACATTTGATTTGACTTAGGATTTGATTGATTTGTTTCTAAATGTTTGAAGATGTAATATCTATTAAATATAGTTGAATAATAATTTTAAAAACGTAATGTAACGTAAAATAAATAAATCAAAAGGAGAAATAAAAAATTTTCAAAATAATTGAAATATCGAAATTTTGTTAGAAAGAATTATTCAGTTCTCTTGGAAGTATGAATCCGCCTACCTATTTCTTCAGGATTGACAATGATGAAATTATCTTTGTCAGTGATGTCCGAGATAGTTAAATTCTTCGGTATATTTTCTTTTTTCAGCCATACAGTCGGTTTGGTATTGCTGAAATTCAGTTTATTTTGTGCTTGCATCACGATTGGAATATCCCATTGATATGATACTTTTGCAGTCGATTGCGGTGGTATGTCTCTCAAATAGACTTTCTAGAAATGCAAATAAAACATTAAAAGAACATTTTTATTCTAGAAAAGATTTGAGAATTCAAATTTTTATCGTGTTATCTATTTGTATTTATGTAATTAGCTATGTTTTGAAAAGTGACAAAATATAAATAAATAGAAATTTATAATAAAATAATATAGAAATGTTTTAATATAATATAGGCATAATTAAGAATTTAATAATTATATTTAACAATCGATGAATTTAATGATCCAAATACCTACAAATGATTAAATCTGATATATTTTTTATTTTTAAGTTAAATAAATTTGTACGCGAATTATATGGTACGGAATTGCGACTTCTTGTAACTAATTTATGTATTTTCATAGGAGCGAGACGCACAAGTATTGCGCAACACATGTTTGTAACACATTAAATGTACTAGTCCTTGATTTTATTATTTCTTCGGAACGACTATTGTAATGTGTGTCGCTTCAGAAACGAAAAATGCTCGTTAAGCTATGCAAATATTTCTTCACGTCCGAACTTATCAAATGTGTTTACGTTTTTCTGCTCGTAAAAAAACAATATGTTTGTTCCAAGTGTAGCAACGTGTTTTATTGTAATTAATTCATCATTGCATTTGTCATACACGTCATAATATTCAACTTTATTATTTACTATTAACAATTTCAACAAATTTATATATTATTTCTCCTTTTCGACATATACATATCTTATTTCCAAATTTTTAGAATAATAATAAAGTATTTAATAGTTTCTTCATTTAATAAAAGTGTGTGAACAGAATTAATATTGGTCTTGCTGTTAATTTTCACCACTGAGGTAAATGTAACTTCCGTTTCCGACGAGAAGAATACTTTAACCGCGAGTAAATAGGATACACGTGGTCATCTCCGTTGCTTTATCTGTGCGAAAATCGCTTCTGTGCCTTCCCGCGTCGCGCGTCCTTGCAGGAAATAACGCTTTTGTCCAGCTTACCTGACTGAGATTAATTTTTCCAGTTTCGTAATCGCGAATGACCGTGACCAATGGCACTCTGTCCCGATTGATCCATGAAGCGGCGATGCCGTTGATGGTCAAACCTGGCGGCAGATTGTCCGTCTCATTTGCTACGTCATTCAGGTAAGTGAAGATATCATTGGCGAAGAAGGTTCTGCGATCTCTGTAAAAGACGCGATATTTCGCGATATATATAGTCTGTGACTGATCGATTGTTAAGAGAAATAGTCGGGAAGCAGCGTATAAAATGTGTCTTGATTTGAAAAAAGTTTCAACTATTTTAAAATTTTAGTCGTTTATAAATTTGATTAAAAGGCTAATTTACTTCTGAATATAACGTAGAAGAATAGAAGTTAGTTTTTACGCTTAGAAACACTAAGTTGTTGAAGATTAGAATCTGCTTCCCAACTAATTGACGAAGGCAATTACTACTCTTTCGATTGCTGATGGAAGAAATTCCTCACGCTCCTTTGAAATAAGTCATGCCCAAGAGTGTAATTAAACATTCGGAAAACCAATTCGGCTGTAAAATCCAAAAAGTTGCATAATTAATTTTATAAATTTATATAATTGTTTTAAGTTTAAAATTTCATTTAAATTATATATACAATTATTTGTTTGTAATTCTTTTCTTTTTTATATTTTTATATTGCATATATTCAAACTTTTTTCTCAAATGTTAGCTTTGAGTAATAAATCGATTAAGATATATCTTTAATTGTATCGTGTCTTATAATAATTTTTATTTACTGTAATTTATTTTAATTACCTTTTGTCCATGTTGCTTCTTGTCTGATACCAGCGACTCTTGAGAAAGGTGCGGTCTGCGCAAATTCGTAATACAGAGGATATAACATCGTCATTGGCCACTTGCCTTGCGTCTCGTTCGGACTCAACTGTTTAAAATAATTAATTTCTTTGAAACTAATAATATGACAATTTTTATTATAAAGATAAAATTAATATAAAAGCGTTTAAAATAATAATGTTGTCTGTAACAATATTTTATAATAGACGTGAAAATGCTTTTCCAATATTTGTTGTAATTATAAAATATATTCACACAGCAAAAATAAGATAAAGATATTATAAAGATAATATACAGAATAATATAGAAAAAAATATTGTAAAATAAAAAGTATTGTACTCACATCGATAGTTGCCATGGATGCCAAGAATGAATTAAGAGCTTTGTTAACTGGCGCATCATTTCGACGATACGGCGTGACGGATTGGCCGATCCACTGATAGAGAAGTTCGTAGGTAGTGGTCCAGACTAGAGAACTGCTGAGTTCACTTTCTCTAAGAAGAAAGAAAATTTATTTTATATACACCATATTTTTCGAAAATATAAAATCATTTCTGTAAATTTTTACATACTTGAAGAACATGAGACCCCAATTATCGGAAGCTTTGGAAGTGCTGTACATGGGAATCGCCATAACGTCCAGCTTCGGTAAACCGATTGAGCTATTGAAGTAATCTTGCATATAATTAATAATCATCACAACTTTGTCGGGAACGTGAAGTAACGATTCCATGAATTCTTTGCGGCCCCAGACTTTCACATGTAGTTTCTTTCCATCCATTTCGTTAATTTCTTTTACGGGCTCGATATTCTCTAAATCTGATATCACAAGAGCTAATTGATTCGTTGACATTCGAGGTGTCTCTTCAAACTCTTCCTCGATCTTGTCGGATAACTCGCGTCGAAAGCTTAAAAGAAGTCAAAGAATAAAAGTGATATTCGATTATCGATGCATTTATTACACTTATTATAAATTTATAGATACTTTTTTACATTTAAGAGTGGAATTCAGTATGGTATTCTCTCTGAGAATAAAAGAATATTAACATCTTATACGTACATTGACGGTGTGTTTGTGCGTGCCGTTAATCCTTTAGGATACAATACACTTAACTTGAAAGTTGCTTTGTAGGGTGGTTCGTCCATGCAGGGGAACATTTTCTGCGCGTTATCTAATTGTAAATAAGTGGCGATGAAGGGACTAGAAAATAAAAGAAAATAAATAAAGTAAATTTATTGTCGTCCTTCTGTATTATTTTATTAATTGCAAGAAAGTTTTTTCGCGCTATTTAAACACATTTTTTTTTAATATTACACAAATTTATTTTATTTTTATAAACTGTAAATTGGACATTGCTATTTAATAAAAATATTGAGGCAAACTAATTTTTATTAGCTCTCTATCTTTTTATGTAATTTTTAATTTAATTTTAAAATATAATAAATAAAATTGTTGTTACACTTACTGTTTTCGACCTTCAATATCCATATATGCACTTTTGTAAAGACCAGTAGTCTCATTGGTCGTGAGATTTCCAAAGTACGTGATATCAACTTCGCAGGCACTTCCATTCTTTAGCATTTGTTCCAAATGGATGATGTACCAGGATTTTCGATCTTGCCGTTCGGTTCTTGCGATATATATTTGGTTGTCCGATTTTCTTTATTACAAGCATAAATATGACGAAAATAAAATTTTATTAAAACTCTAGAACATGAGTGAGATGAAATAGAAAAAAGAATATGTTGAGTTGTATTATTATAATTATAACATAAATTGCAGTAAGAATTATTAAAATCCTAACTGTTATTAGAATTATATAAAAATCATCAAGATCTGCAAGATCTGCAAGAATATATTTGACTTGCGCAAAAAGTTAAATTACTAAATTTACTAATATTTTATATCTAAACCACAAAATTCTTATGTCAGGTAAATTACGTGTTTCATTTGCTTACGCTTCATCGAGCGGCAATTTAATCAATCTGACGCTGACTAATGAAATCTCAAGATTTGGATGAACATTCAGCGTTATCCTGTCGCTAGTGTCAGACCAGGTAAGATTGATCTTGACGCGACCGTTGAATTGGTTGCTCTCGATGAAGGGTATCTTGATGTCCACATGATAACTAGTTGGCGTAACTTCGCTCGGTAATCTGTTTTGGCGCATTTTTGAGTAGTAGACATCGTTCAAGTCAATACTGCGCTTCGATCGGTCCTACGATTAAACGAGTAATTTTTTATTCAGACAATCGGATCATCGGTTAATTATGGTAGTTTTTTTTTTTTTTTAATTTAACACTGTACTTCGGTATTACGGAGATCCCGAGAAAGACCGAACGGTATCGCTGACAGTAGAAGGAATCCTGATAGCAACGTTGCCCACAACATGATGAATCGTACAGAGCGAACCTGGATACGGTATTTAATGTAAAGTTATTTAAACACTTGCTTACAACAAACACTGTTTTGAAGTTAATTCTTGATAAAACAGTTTGGAGTTAAATAAAGGGTTCGATGTAGCAATATCAATAAAGCTCTCCTACTTCTTCAAGATCTTAATAAAATTGACTTATTAAATTGAGAAAAATAATATAGATTAAATTTCAAATTTTCTCAATTAGATTATTTTAATATTCCTAATTGATGTCATTGATATAAATTAAAAATAAGATAGATATGTGTATGTTAATTATTTAGTAACTTAATTCACCTTTCTAAAAACTTGAGAAAATTAATTGAAGATGAGAAGATGAAATTCAGAGTTGAAGAAACTGAATATTAGATTAATTTCCTTAAGTTTTTAAAGAAGTGGATCCTTGCACATTTTGTAATTTTAACAAAATTTTATATTTTTTTCTAATGAATGGAGAGTCTTCTGATACTTCGTAGGAGAGACTTATTTCGCGGAAAATTTTGATTTAATCGATTCCGGGTGCTTACAGCGTTATATCCTCACGGCAGGCGTGCACGCCTGAGGGACGCAGAGGACGATCTGTCGGCGATTCAACCAAGAGCCGACTCGAATACCACCCGTATTGTCGCACTGCCGCGCCGATTGACCTTGAAACCTCTTAAAGAAAAGGTGACTTCCTCCGAGAGGAGTCTGGGAAGATCTCTGAAACGACCGCGTGATAACGTGGTAGCGCGCAGACTATCACGCGTGAACGGTTCCTCGTCCGCGTGGTCCGGTCGCCAAAAAACTGCGGAAACGCGCGGAAAAACGCCCCGGTACGAGCCTCGCGTGACGTAACACGCGGGGAGTTGGATTCAGGTCCACTTAGGGCAAATCGGCGGATCATCCATTATCCAATCTGCGACGATCGCGGCCGTCGCTGAAGGGGAGCCTAATCGCGACGAGTCAATCCGGACGCGGCGAAGAGACGACGACGTCAACGGCCAATCTGCGGTCGGTGGTGCCGGCCATCAAATGGGGAACAAAGTGCGTCTCGGACATCGCCTGTCGCAAGGACCTTGGCGCCATTGTGCTCCCCTTTAGGCTCTCCGTGCCAGCCAGCGTGCGTATGCGTGTCTGTATTGCGTCGTCATCGACGACGACACGTGCCGGCGATCTGCGTACCGGCTCCTGGTACCGACCCCGGACCGAACCCAATGTGCACTTGGACCACGACACCATATCGCCTCAATTGGACTTGATGGAGTGTTTTGTTCGCGATCTTCTTCTCTCGCCGGCAGTTCTCGCGCAATAAATGGGTCAGTTCTTGGAGCTGCTGGAGGCGGCAACCGAGAACGCTACGGCCACGAATTCGATAATCTGTAAATGAGTTATCTGTATCTGATACATTTAAAAGAAAATTTGAGGAATTCTTTGCATTGGTATTGTTAGTGCAAATTGAAAATATATAACTTAATTTGAGCTTGTTAAATATCTAAGACAGTGTAATTGGATTTTGAAAAAAAAATAGATAGAAATCTCTTCTAAATATTTGTTAAATTATAAAAATTGTATAAATTAAAATAAATAAGGAAATGTTATTTTAGTTGCAATTATATGTTGCTTTTATAATTAAAAATTTATCACAAATAATAAAATTATTTTTTTCTATGAGATTTGAGTTTTCTTTTATTTACCTAGTCTTCTACTTATCCCTTTTTTACTTGTAGCTGTAATTTAGAAAAGAAAACTTTTCACGTCAGTTTGATTCTCTAGAATGCTGCGTTATCATGTCAGACTTGGTTCCACGTGTCACAACAAAGAGGAGAAGGCTGTAAGACGCGCGGAAGAGTTTCGATAGTGATTCTAATCGTGAATTATCGTAGAAGCGCATAAGGATAAAGAGCGGAACGAACGATGGAGAACGACACGCAGAGCTGACGAACGAAGAACAGTGGGGGACAATCGCGAATGTTTCTCGACCAACATCCACACACGGCACCGCAAGGTGGAACGGCTAATTGCAGTTGTACCTGCGTCATCTGTGCGCTGACGCGCTCGCGAATTCGTTTTCGCGTTGAAAGCGCGTTCGTTCTCTGAAATCGTTTTCTTCGCGTTTTCGCGCACCTACGTTTTTATTATTATCTTTTTTAATAACATCTTTGTATTATTTTTTTTAAATTTGAACCATGAGACGAGGATCCGTCAGCAGTTGGCAGTCCTATGGACAGCGAAACTGTAAGTGATAACAGCTGTTTTTTCCTTGATATCATTATTTCCAATGCCTCTAAACTCGCACTTGTATTTAAAACATAAATTATATTGTAAAGTACCAAGATATTAAAAATATTCTAGATACCAAAATCTTCTTTTCTGTGTTAAAAAAGTAGATTTTTTTGTATAAAACTTTTTATTTTAACCAAGTTTCAAAAATTATCGCATATATTTTAAAATTCTCATTAAAAATTTCTAATGTCATTAAAACAATATTTAATGTCAGATATAAAGATAAAAAGTATTACGTTATATACTTTAACGTTAAATTTATAAACTGAGATATGCCTTCAGAATAAAGTGTTTTGAAAGATAAATCATGTTATGATAAATCATGTTACCATATTAAGTGATATTATTTTTAGAAAAGAATGAAAAATGTCTTTAAAGATATATTTTTATTATAAATAAACATTTTTTTTCGTTTAAAGGTTAATTATTTTCATTGAAAAGTTACATATGACATGTCGATAATTATCGTTGACAATTATTATTCCATATCGTTGATAGATACATCTATTATTTCGATTATTTTCTTGTTGTAACATTAATTACACTTGTTAGTTAAATATTATTTATATAATAATATCTTATAAAGCTATATAAGTAAGCTTATAAATAACATCAAATCATAGATATTCGAGAAACAATTTTTTTTTTATTTTTATAAAACTTTTTTACCTTAGATTTTTCTCAAAATATATGTTACAAAATATATGTTGTACAACTACAGTGCTGAAAAAAAAAATTATAATGAAAGAAGAATGTAAGAAATTATAATGTATATAAATTAATATAATGATATTTATTTGAGAATCACTTTTGAAAATAATATTAATTTATTCAGATTCTTTTTATCATTGAATGCACAAATATTAAATTGCTTATTTCGATACGAATGTGCTCATAAATTAATCAACTAAATTAAATTACAGAGGTTGCATCGATCCACTTTAGCAAGTTAATTGTTGAGTTTTTATGACGGTTATAATCGTGCGAGATTTTGACGTACGGTTGTGTTCTATTACGTGCAACACGAAACTTGCAACATATATTTTATCTATTTGATATTATTTATTTAGCATTTTTATTTAGTTTATTTTCTAATTTAGTTTTTTTATTTTAATCTTACAAATTTATTGAGATTATTTAATCCTTTATTTAATCTTACAAATTATTTTTGAGAGATTAGTATATTAACAACAGCTTTTTAAATTATTTGTTATAGTTGATATACAGTAAAATTTTTATAAATTTTGCTCGGCTTAATCTGGAAATCGGATACAGGAAAAAGTTTTATAAATTGCAAATATATAAAAATATGCTTTATTAGATAATTTAATCAGTGCTAAATTAGAGCCCAATAATGCCCAATAAGAGTGCTATTGTTAAATGACTTAATAAGTATTTAAACAAGCTTATAAATATTCTGTATGTTAAATCATTTAAAAAATAATAAAATTATTATTATTCCTTGTCTTTGGGAATAATAATATTTTAATTATAATATTCTTCTAAAATATGCACGTGCATGCACGTTAAAGCAGTGTCACATTAGTTTCTAGTATTTTGAAATAATTATCTCGTACATTAATTATGTTATTAATGTTATCTGATTGTTGTTACATGTGTTACAAACATGCAAGTTACCTTGAATTCATTCGTGATAGTTTCATTATTATTATTGATATCATTGTGCACATTTTTGTCAACATTCTTTGCGAGAGTTGTGCAAAAAAAATAACTTTAATTATATTAAAAACTGTATGAATTGTAACATGATGCTTTTTTATAGACCAGGATGTTAGAAGATTTAATTCTGTACAAACAACGTGAATAAAAAGAATATGTATATAAAATTATTTGATTCTTTCTTATTTAATTTTACTAATTTTATTTATTTTAGGATTATTGACAGTAATTAAAGAAATTTTATCCAGAAATTTGGTATCTAAACATTTGGATTTCTTTTTATTTAAAAGAGTTTATTTCAAACATCACTTAATACATCTTTTTATCTTGCGCACAGTATTAAGACATCTCAAACACAGCATTGAAGTTTGTTTATGTGACAGTCACGTTTACATAGTATAACAAGGAATATGATTTCACAACGTCATGAAAAGCTATGACAAGTTACAACGAATTTCATAGTAATAAAACAAGTTAATAATAGACAAACAAAATAATAAAAATATATTTGAGGAAACAAATAAAGAATAAAGCTTAATTAATTAATAATAAAGCTGTAGACAATTATTATAATACCAATTATGATGAAAAGAGGCTAATTCCTATGTGCGATTTTTTCCATGCTTTATCTATTTCAAACACATATCTCGGTTCTTACATTCTTAGCATAATGCGTTTCGTTAGAGATAAATTCTTTTCTTCAATCTAAATATTTTAAATTTTAAACATAGAAAGAAGTTTAGCATATTTCTAGTCTAGCACCATGATTTTCTATGATAAATTCATCTAATTCTCCGTGTTTTAATTTTATGAAATTCAAATTTTAATTGCGTTGTTAAACGCGATGCAATCCAATAATATCTTATAGAAGGTATATTTCTTTAGTTATAAATATTTCTCATTAGAAATTACATTTGGCTAAAGTCAATGTAGACCGTTGCCGCTAATGCTGCTAGTACGAACGTTACCGATACGAGCGTTATCGGTGCGACGATGATTACGCGAATGCTGTAGTCAGCGACGTGCACGAGCGGGACCTTGAAACCGCGTTCACGGGCTATCGTGGATTCCTGCATCACGGGGAACCAATTTCGGTGACGTCATCCCATACATATTCCGTGCTTCTAACGTTTCATTACTAGCACGAAATTCGTCGCGATATGACGGATGTGCTCACGGATAATCAAGATTTTTTTTTTCTAAACCGACCACGGAATATCAGTACGCGACTCGTTCCGACTCGCTGATTGTTAACGCGATTTACATACCTCTCTAATTCGCGCGATCTTCCTGATTGCTCTTGGATTCTATGATTCAATCGAGCGATTGTAAACTGGAAATTATTAGTCTCGATTTATCATAGCTTATTAGATTTCTGAGAAGATAGATGATATCTTTTGTTTGAAATGTAAGTTTTCCTAAGAAGAATTTATTCCGAGAAAAAGAAAATTTTTCATTTTCTTTTAGCAAAAAGTTGAATATTAACTTTAAAATTTTTGTAAAATTCACACATTCCTTTATTTTCTATGAAAATATTTATTTAATTTTTATTATAATTATATTTTTTTAATACATTGGAATTTTTAAGAATTTGTAATTTTAAATTAATTATTTATTTAAAATTTTAAATATATATATTATAAATATTATAAATATATATATATATATATATATATATATATATATATATATATATATTA